CCCCTATAGATTCCATATGGCCCCGGGAGGGTCCCTCATGGGTTCTATATGGCCTGGGGCGTCCCTTTGAATTCCCTATGGCGCTGGAGTGGTCCCTATAGATTCTATATGGCCTGGAGGGGGGGCCCCAATGGGTTCTCTGAGCTCCCAGGGGGTCTCTCTTATAGGGCACTAGAGGTCCCCATGGGTTCCATAGGGCCCTGAGGGATCCCTATGGATTCTATACGGCCCTAGGGGGTCCCTGTGGGTTCCATAAGGCCCTGGAAGGTCCCTATATGGCCCCAGGAGCGTTTCTATGGCCCTGGGGGGTTCCATAAGGCCCTGGGGGTGTTTCTATGGCTCTGGGAGGTGCCTATGGATTCTATACAGCCCCGGGGGGGTTTCTATGACCCTGGGGGTCCCTATGGATTCTATATGGCCCTAGGGGGTCCCTATGGGTTCCATAAGGCCCTGGGGGTGTTTCTATGGCCCTGGGGGGTCCCTATGGGTTCTATACAGCCCGGGGGGGTCCCCATGGGTTCTGTATGGCCCTGGGGGTCCCCTATGGATTCTATACAGCCTGGGGGGGTCCCTATGGGTTCTATATGGCCCTGGGGGTCCCTATGGATTCTATATGGCCCTAGGGGGTCCCTATGGGTTCCATAAGGCCCTGGGGGTCCCTATGGGTTCTGTAGGGCCCCGGGGGTCCCCCATAGGTGTCCGAGGGTGTTAGTGTGTTAGTGCCCCTCCCCCGAAGGCGCCGTTAACCAAATCCTCCTTTATTAGCCCCGAAATCGCCGTTAATTAAAAACGCGCCGGCCCCTCCCCCCTATAAAATCTGTACATCGGCCCCGCCCCGCGGGAGGGGGAGGGGCCGGGGGGAGGGAGGGGGGGAGGGGATGCCCCAGGAAGGGTCCGGGACCCCCAGGGAGCTCCTTCATTAAACTCACTGACCTCGTTAACCTCATTAACCCACTGACCTCATTAACCCCACTGACCTCATTAACCCAACCTCATTAACCTCATTAACCCCAACCCATCGACCTCGTTGACCTCATTAACCCACTGACCTCATTAACCCCACTGACCTCATTAACCCATTGACCTCATTAACCTCATTATCCCCAACCCATCGACCTCATTAACCTCATTAACCCACTGACCTCATTAACCTCATTAACCCCATTAGTGCCATGAACCTCATTAACCCCATTAACCCCCCTGACTTCATTAAAATCATTAACCCATTGACCTCATTAAGGTCATTAAGCTCATTAACCCATTGATCTTGTTAATCCCATGGGCCCCATTAACCTCATTAACCTCAGTGACCTCATTAAGCTCATTAAACTCCACCCCAGGGTCCCCCATCACCCAACGAACCTTAATGAGCCCCAAAACCCGGGTCCCACTAATTAACAACCCTTAATAGGCCCCCACAGCCTAACGAACCCCAAAACTTGGGTCCTGCTAATTAACAACCCTTAACGAGCCCCCAACAACCTAATGACCCCCCAAGATCAGAGTCCCACTAATTAATGACCCTTAATGAGTCTCCAGCTCCCAAGATCTGGGTCCCCCCATTAAAGAGCCCCCACAGGTCCCTCATCACCTCATCAGCCTTAATGAGCCTTAATTAACGAGCCCACCACACAAGAACCCCCAGATGAGGCTCTCCAGGACCTAACGAGCCCCATCAGGTCCTTCCTCACCTGCTAATGAGCCTTAATGAGTCCCCACTGCTTAATGAGCCCACAAGCTCCTCCACTACCTCCTAACGAGCCCTAATGAGCCCCCACCACTTAATGAGCCTTAATGAGCCCCCACCACTTAATGAGCCTTAATGAGTCCCCACCCCTGATGACCCCCAAACCCGGGCCCCCACCCCCCACCAGCTTCTTCATCACCCAACAGCCTTAATGAGCCCACCACCTCCTAATGAGCCTTAACGAGTCCCTTAATGAGTCCCCACTGCCTGACGACCCCAAAACTTGGGCCCCCATCGCCCAAGGAGCCTTAACGAGCCCCCCACCTCCTAATGAGCCTTAATGAGCCCCCACCACCTGATGACCCCCCAGACCAAGGTCTCCATCTCCTAATGAGCCTTAATGAGTCCTGGCCATTTAATGAGGCCAAATAGCTCCTCTGTCAACCTCCCTGATGAGTCCCCCCACCTCAGACCCCAAACCCAGCTCCCCCCAGCTCCTAACGAAGCCTTAATGAGTCCCTCAGCCTTGATGACTCCAAACCTGGACCCCTAGTGACCCCAGTACCCCCAAACCTGGACCCATGTGAATCCCCAGTGACCTCCGCAGAGATCCCAGTGACCCAGTGACACCCAGTGACCCCCGTGGACCCCCCAAACCTGGACCCCAGTGACCCCCAGTGGACGCCCAGTGATCCCCAGTGAGCCCCAGTGATCCCGCAGTTGAGCCCTGGTGACCCCCAGTGAGCCCCCAGTGGACCCCCAGCAAGCCAGTGCCCCCCAGTTGACTCCCAGTGCCCCCCAGTTGACTCCCATGAACCCCCAGTTGACCCTCCAGTGACCCCAGTGATTCCCCATGACCCAGTGAGCCCCAAGTGACCCCCAAAACCTGACCCAGTTGAACCCCCAGTGAGCCTCCAAAGCTGACCCCGCAGTGATCCCAGTGACTCTCAGTGACCCAGTTGAGCCCCAGTGACCCCAGTGACCCCAAGTACTCCCAGTGACTCCCCAGATTGACCCCCAGTGCCCCCCAGCACCTCCTGCCAAGCCCCAGCGAGGCCCCACCACGGGATGCCCCCAGACCCAGGGCTGCCCCCCCTCGAGGTGGGTTCTCTGCCCCACAACGAGCCCCCACGACCTAACAAGCCCCACCAGGTCCTTCACCAGCCCTAACGAGCCTTAACGAGCCCCACCAGGTCCTTCACCAGCCCTAATGAACCTTAACGAGCCCCCATGACCTAACAAGCCCCACCAAATCCTTCACCAGCCCTAACGAGCCTTAACGAGCCCCCACGATCTAACGAGCCCCACCAGGTCCTTCACCAGCCCTAATGAACCTTAACGAGCACCCATGAC